GAATAGGTTTAGATATTATATTGTTTTAGTACTATAGCATGAAGAAGTCATTAGGAACAATTACTTTTGAAAGAAACTTTTGCATTTTCAAATAAATACAAAAACATTCCTGTGTAGGCAGCCCCTCGGTTTAAAACTTAGTCCTCTTCTGTGTCCTCTATATATACCAGGGCTATTCATCTGGTGGCCTACAGGCTGGATAAGCTCCCTGTCATTTTTTTTACTTAATTCACTATAAAAAATTGGTTTTAAATAATTGTAAACTTTAAATTTATGATCCAACACAACAAAATAACTTAATTTACAAGGTAAAAAMTAATAATACTTGTTCTGTTACATACTGCAAGGTTTCACCCACCTACCATTAATGGGCAATACCCACAACCCTCATTGTGATTCATTAATTCATTGTGTTTTTGAGCTCATCTTAAGTCCTCTGGTCAAAAACCTAATTATTGTAGGTCCTCATTAAAGGACATTTTTCGCAGATCATTTCAGATCAATAGCAGAACTTCAGAGAAAAGACGGGGATTTTTAATTTCCAACATTTTTTTTTCAAATAAATGTTGGTTTTGTTTTTAGATTACACATACAGCAGAGGCAGTTGAGCCCCCCGGCCCCACCACATTTTAACACCACTGCTCTTTCAGCTAAGATGTGGCTCGGCAGGCACAGCAAATGCTCTCATCCTCTCCCAATCCTGTGTGCACTGAAGAGGTTCCATTACGCAATTATATCAGCTACAGGCTAAACCAGGAAGAGCTCAGGCCTCATTTCCCAACTAACAGYTGCTGACAAGACAAATTGAAGAGAGAAAGGAGGGGCCTCCTTCCAAGCTGATTTGAGTTTGCCAGTTTGGGGTGTGCAGCAGACCATGATTTATGGCTGCATGAGGGGGGGAGTCTCATCCTGATGTGCTTGTGCTTCACTCAGACACCCAGGGTTGGGTAATTCAATCAGCCTTCTGAGATTAGGGAATCATTTTTATGAGGATGAGGCTCAAATGGTGCAAATAAAATCAGTTGGTTTGGATTAAAAATTTGTCAAGTGTTAAACACTACTCACAGTGAAACCATTTAAAAGTCATTTAGAAGAAAATATATAGCAGATGGAATTATTGATAAATTGCAGTTGTTGGTTCTGATCACTGGGTTGAAAACATTTTTTTTTTGTCTCCATCAATGAAAACCACCGGCTTTTATTTGGAGACGATTTACAGAGACACCATGATGACTGTCATGGAATAATTATGTATATCTGTTCTACCTTGACACTGTCCAGTAATCATATCTCATGATAACTAGTTTCGGCTGTTTTAATCTATCRGCCCAGACTTAAAGACTCCASCAATGCATGACCTCTTTTCTTTTGATAAGGTGTTTCCGGGCTGACAGCCCTGTCATTGGTTAGATGGTTCACAGTTGGCGAACTGTGATTGGTTGTAAGCATGTCACAGGATGTTATATTATCGGCTGCTCTGCGCTGACGAGCCAGCCACAACTTGACAGACTTCTCTGATTGACTTCTGCTCTGGCTTTGAGCTGGATCTGGATCTGGTCTCAGATCCCTCACTGAGATC